GGGGGGGTAGAGGGTGGGCGAAGTTTCTTTCCATCCTGGTCCCAGTCTCTGGACATCTCTCACTCCCAGAGAGTCCCAGGGTGTCTGTCTGTCTGTCTCAAATTCTCTCTGTGTCTCTACATCTGTCTTTCCAAGCTAGTTAGCTAATTAGTGTTCTAACTAGACGACTATTCGCTAGTTGGTATTCTAACTGGTAGTCTTTGACTCGCTCTGGCTCCGAATCTCTGGGTCTCACGTCGTGTCTGGGTTTCTGGGTGTCTCTGCCTCCATCTCTCCAAGTCTCTGGCTCACCCTTTTGGGTCTTGTAGTCTAGATGTCTCTGTGTCTGTGTCTCCACATCTCGCTGGTGGGGGTCTGTCTCGCTCAGTGTGTGTCTGGTTTGGGTCTTGTCTGTTCTCTGTCTCTCTGGGTCTCTGTCTCTTAGCGGCCTCCCACGTCTCTCATCGTTGGGCTCTGCAGGTCTCTGTCTCTCTGGGTCTCGCACAGTCTCTGAGTCTGGTCTCTCGGCCATCTCTACCTCTGCGGGGCTCTCTGGCCCCGGGTCTCTGCGACCGGGTGTCTCTTTATCTCTGCCTCTCGGCGTCTCTGCCTCTCACTCCTCTGGGTCACATCTCGGAGGCTCCGTCCAGCTGGTCTCTCCGAGCCTGTCTCTGTGAGACTGTCTCTCGGGGTCGCCCCGCCACTCTCCCGCAGGTCCCCATACCGCATCGCGGCTGCTCTCGGTGCTGCTGCCCTCCACTTCTTCCTCTTCCTCCGCTTGCCGCTCTGCTCCTTGGCCGCTCGGGAGCTCCGGCTGCACCCGGGGGGGCTTTGGCTCCCGAGGCTCCCCGGAGGACCCCCGCGGCGAGGTGGCCTCTAGGTGCTGGGCCTCAGCGTCGCTCTCGGCGGCGGGTGGCGGCAGAGACCCCTGGTCCGAGCGGCTCGGCGTCCCCATGGCCGCTACGTACTCTTACGATGTGGGCGGGGCTCGCAGCCCCGGGGGCGGGACCAGACAGCTTGGGGGCGTGGCCTAGGCCTCCGGAGAGCCGTCGGCGGAGTGCTTCAGGAGGCGGGGCCTACGGTTCAAAGGATGGGAACGGAGCGTTCGGGGGCGTGTCCACGGGGAGGTATTGAGTTGGGGCGGGGCTTGATGGCCCCTGGAATGTCACGCCCCCAGAGGCGGGGCCGGAATCAGGGTCCGGGGTCCCAGCACGCCCCCTACCGGCCTCTCCGACCCTTCTTTGCCCCCTAGTTACCCCGCAGCAGCCTCTCAGAATCCATTGCTGGACCTTCTCCCTCCGGGGCTCGGGAGCCCAGGCTCCTGCCCCCTTTTCGCTTGACCCCCAAACCCCTCCTCCCCCGAGCTTGAGAATCCGGACCCCGGCCGCCTGGATGGAGAGCAGCGCCCACACCACCGTCCCGAGACCCAGGACCGGGGCTCCCAGTCTCCTCCGCTCCTCCCGGGAGCCCCACCTCCCCAGCACCCCGCGAGGCCGTCCTCGGCCTTCCTCCCCCCGCGGCCCCGGCCTCCTCACCAGCTGCGGCTCGGCCGCGCTCCCTCTCTGCTCCGGGCGCTGCCGCTGGTGTGTGAGAGACAGGTGGCTGGGGAAGAGCAGAGGCCGCCCCGTCCCCCTCCCCAGGAGCCCGGAAGTGGAGGGAGGGGGCCCACAACAGGTCCGACTGCTCCCGAGGGAGGAGGGAACGACCAGTTTGCCCCGCCCGCGGCAGTGGCATCTAGCCATCCCGGCCCCACTGGCCCCACCCTCGGAGAGCCCAGCACCCCATCCCAGTCGGCCTCCAGCGCCCCTCTTCCGGCCCCTTGAAGTCCCAGGTGCCTCAGGTGACGCTGAAGAAGCACATTCTTCATGCCCAGACCCTGGCCATCCCCAAAGAAGGGATGAAAATCAGGACTTCTCCCCGCCAGAGTCCTTTAGAAAAGCCCCTTTTCTCGACCAGTTTGGGGATCTGGGCAGGGCAGGGGATGGGGGTGCCCGGAGCTGAATCAGAGACCCACGACTGAGGGCGGAGTGTGCCCCTCCCCACTTTGCCATGAGGTGGCTGGCAGAGGTTAAAGGTCTCCACCAGGCCCTTTCCCTTCTGGGCAAAAACAGGAAAATAGCTGGTGTGTGAACAGGTATTATTAGTTTGGGAACCGTGCCACTTCATACACATCCATTTCATCTTCACAGCGGCCCAGGGACAGAAGAGATCGCGCTCCCCATTATACAGCTGGGGGAAACCCAGGTTGGGGTGCATGGGAGGGAGAAGCAAATGCAGCCAAGGGTTGCACCTGCCGTAAATATTAACATCAAAGACTCATTTTCTGGAAGGCCCACGTTGTCTGGCTGTCTGTGCAAGCCAGGAAGTGTCTGAAAGATCATTCTGAATAATAACGATACTCGTTAGCAGTGGACAACCCTATGATTGCTACCAAGCCGCTGGTCATTTCACAGAGGAGGAAGCTGAGGCCTGGGGAGGTGTCGTCCCACAGGGAGAACAGGCTCCAGCCCCAAGTGGATGTTCCCAGCCCGGGGTTTCCTGTGATGTTAGGAAATCTGCTTTGGGATCCCTGGATCGTCATTTTGTCCAGGCAGCTGAGTCCAGACACCCAACTACCTGTGCCCCCACCCCTGCCCCGCCCCCAGGGGGTTAAAAAAAAGATGGTTGTCAGATTCACAGCACGCACACACACACAAACGTTTATTTAAGAAACTGGAAGAGCTGGTGAAGGGTAGACAGGGGGAGTGGGGCCAATACCCCACCCTGTGCCATCGACTGCATCATGGACAGGAGCACGTGACAGAGAGCAGCCGTCAGGAGATGGGGGTCTGCACCCCACAGCGCATGTTGGCTGGAACAGCTACATCTGAAAGGACAAGACGGAGGGGGAAACTAGGGGGTCCAGGCAGGCTCGAGGGCCTTCCTTCTAGGGACCCAGAAATCATGAGAACCCTTTTGGGGGGTGGATCTAGAACTCTGGACAAGAGTCCTCGGCAGATTCAAAGGTCCAACCAAGTCTTCCAAACTCCTCCTCCCTCATCTCAGGGGTCTGGGCCACAGTAGACTGCCCCCGACCCTCAGACCCAGGAGTCCCTCCCCCAGCCCCTCCACCTTCAGGCCCAGGAGTCCAATCTCCAATCTCCTCCTCCGCCAGACCCTGCCTTCAGTGACTCACCTATCTGCTGCGGCTTGGGCAAATTCAGGTTGTCCATGACCTTGATAAACTCCTCACAGCTGAGCGTCAGCCGGGGGTTCAGAGTCCGTTCCTCCTCCACAGTGGACACCGTGAGCCCTAGTGGCCAAGGGAAGGGGTGAACAGTCAACCAAGCCAGGGCGGCGAGCCTCCTAGGACTACATTTCCCAGGAGGCCTCGCGGTGCCTCTCTGACTTGGGACTAGCAGAAGCCTGGGTGAGACTGCCTCAAATGGCACTATGGGAAATGTAGTTTCCCACCGTCTTCCGCCCCCCCCCCCCAAAAAAAAAAGAACTAGTCAGTCCCAGTCCCTCTGGAATTCTACGAGTCATGGTTTCTACATCCACACACAGGACACGCCTAAACCCCTGTTCTTTCTGGCCAGAGGGAATCCTCCCAGCTCCACAAGGATTTTTGCAGCCTGGTGAACCACCTAAACCCAACGCACTGTAATTGAGTTGATTTGATGTCATGGTGCCCCCATGTGTCACAGAGCGAAACCGCTCCACAAGGTTTTCTCAGCTGTCAGCTTTCAGGAAGCCAACAGCCAAGCCTTTCTTCCACGGTGCCACTGCATGGGCTCAAACTGCCAACCTTTGGGTGGAAACCAAACCCACTGCAACTCATAGCAGGGATGGGGAACCTCTGGCTTAAGGGGCAGATCACTCACACATATTCATTCACTGTCATCTAGTGGATTTCAGCTCATAGAAACCCTGCCGGACAGGCCCTGTGGTTTCCCAAACCAACTCTCCAGGGAGCAGACAGCCCCATCTTTCTCCCTGAGAGCGGCTGGGAGTTTCAAACTGCTGACCTTGTGGTTATCGGCCCAATGTCTAACCACGACACCACCAGGGCTCCAGTGGGTAATGTTGTTGTGGTGGGGGGGAGGGGTGGACGGTGTCACAGAAGGTCCACAAAACCCTCAGGACCAGTAAACGCCACATGCTTCACCAAAGAGATGTTGCTCCAGCTGCCTCACGAGGGGTGAGTTAAATGTTTGACCAGTGTAGTCCTCAAAGGATGTGATAAATATGCAAATTGGCTTTGGTTGGACAAAAAGAGGCTCCCACTCCTGCTCTATAGGGTTTCTGAGGCTATAAATATTTTTATTTTGAGGCTATAAATCCTTATGGGAGCTGAGAGCCTCATTTTTCTTCATGGAGCAGCTGGTGGATTGGAACCACTGACCTTGGACTAGCAGTCTGGCTCAAACAGTTTGTGCTGAGGACCTAGGGACCTGAGAAACAATAACCACCACTAGCTGCTGTCTATTTGATGTCGACTTGTGGCGACCCCATGCGTTATTCAGGGGAATTGCAGTCCTTGGCACGTTGACAGGTTTGGGAAGCAGCTTGCCAGCACTTCCCTTCCCCGGCGACTCTGCATGGATTTGAACCACCAGCCTCTGCTGTTGGTTGTTCTGGTTGTCGTTAGGGGCCGCCAAGTCCGTTCCGACTCATAGCAACCCTATGCACAACACAATGTGTGTGGTGGCCCGTGGTTGCAGCCACTGTCGTCAGCCCATCCTAGAAGCCCCACACCTCCTTCCAGAAGCCTCACCACGGTAGTCGTGAGCTGGGTAGATCAGACAGTCTCCTGGAAGCGTGAAGATCTTTTCATGGACCGAATGGTACAAGGTTTTAGCACAGCCTGGGGAGGGAGAGCTCTGAGGTTAGTGGATTGGCAGGGCAGGAAACTCCCCCTGACCCCTTCCTTCAGGGGTCACTGTAGCTAATAAACCCTCTCTTCATCCCCACTCCCATCCCCGCTCCGGCTCCCATCGAGGGAGAGAGGCAGAAGAGAGAAGGGCATTCTGGGAGGTGGAACAGCAGATGCGAAAATCTGAGAGAGGGTGAGGGATGTACTGTGGTTGCAAAGGAGTGTGGGATGGGGCCCTTGAAGCACCCAGCAGTGGTGACCCCATCCTGGGGATATCAAGAAAGGCTTCTGCAACAGTAACGTGGGCGAAGGGAGACCGCGGGCGGTGTAAGATATGAAAAAAAAGAATAATTGATAGTTGATTAGGGGTCCGTGGGGGGGGGGGGGAAGGAAGGGGAGGAGCTGATACCAAGAGCTCAAATAGAAAGAATATATTTTGAAAATGATGATGGTAACATATGTACAAATATGCTTGATACAATTGATGTATGGATGAGGAGCTGATGCCGAGGGCTTAAGTGGAGAGCAAGTGTTTTGAGAGTGATAAGGGTAATGAATATACAAATGTGCTTTACACAATTGATGTAGGTATGGATTGTAATAAGAGTTGCATGAGCCCCCAATAAAATGATTTTTAAAAATTGATGTTATGGATTGTTATAAGAGCTGTAGGAGCCCCCAATAAAATGACTTATTTTAAAAAGAAAGAAAGAAAGGGTTCTGGACCAAGAAGGTAGACGGAAGATAAGAAACCAGAGGCAGGAGGCCAAGGGGGAGACTTGCTTCCGAGAAGACCTGAGTCCTAAGCTGGGGTAGGGGTACACTTTTCTGGAATGTTCTGTCCGACTAAGACTAAGAGGAGGAGGCTGTCAGGTGGGGGCGGGGAGTGGATGGACGGGGGATGCAGAGCGCCTCAGAGTTAGAGAGAGAGAGAGAAAGAGAGAGAGAGAGAGAATGAGGTAGAGAGAGAAGGACAGAGGGAAGTGGAGGGCCGGCTGCCCACGATCCGTTCAGGGTGGCTTCTTTACTCTCACCTGGCCTGGACCTTGTCCCCTGAGGCTGTAAAAGCTTCCTACCATCACACATACGCAAAACAAAAAGCAGAAATCCACACCGACTGCCCTGAATCGACTCCCACTCACCGCCAACCTATCAGGCAGAGCAGAGCTGCTTCTCAGGGTTAGCAAGGCTGTGACTCTGTACGGGAGCACACGGCCTCATCTTTCTCATGCCGAGCAGCTGGTGGGTTTGAACTGCTGACCTTGTGGGAGCAGCTTAACCCACAGGCCCACCAGGGTTCCTTTCCCAACTCAAAGGGCATCTAAGTAAACCCTGAGACCCAGGCACTAAACTTTCTCCCCACATCTAACTGCTCCGCACCAGCTTATCTCCAAGTGGAGCAAGACTCCCCCAGCAATTAAACCACCGACTCCACCAACCTCCTGGCAGCCAGATTCCAGAATTTGACTATCCCCTGGGATAAGGATGGGGCTGGCTACTCCCCTAAAGAGTTACAGTCTTGAAAACCCAGCGGGGAAGTTCTACCCTGTCCCAGAGGGTCCTATGAGTCAGATTCAACTTGATAGCAGTGAGCTTGGTTGGTTGTTTTAAAAAAAACAAAAAGCTAATCTCTATCCCTGATTAGTTATATAATAGGTCCACATACTCTTTGATACTTTCTCTCTTCAAAATGGGAAGCTTCATTTCCCCCACTTCATCAGCATGGTCTGGACTGAGCACCTTGCTTTTGATAAGGAGGGTACTGCAGAGATGAGCGGTCCCCCGATACTGCGGAGATCAGGCCATAGAACAGCTGCGGTGGCTTTTTCTGTCTCTCTGATGGCTCCCTCTGGGAGGATCCAGCTGCTATGTCACGAGGACCCTGGAGTAGCCGTCTGGAGAAGGTCCCGAGACAAGGAACTGAGGCTTCCGGCCAAGAGCCAGGACCAACTTGTGGGCCCTGTTCGTGAGCCACCTTCTGGAAGGGTTCTCCCGCTCCAGGCGAACCGTCTGATGACAACCCCGGCTGACCGTTTGACTAGCACCGCTTGAGAGACTCCTGAGGGTTTCTGGGGTAGCCTTTTCCGTCTTGAGAAAAAGGGCTGCCACTTCCCCTTTTCTGCTTCTTCTGACTGTGAACGGGAGGTGCGACAGCTGCGCGTTGCAATCAGGAGGCACACGTCCAGAGAGTCCCACAAATCATCGTGTGCTGATGAAACGAAGGCAGCACCTGCCTTCTCCCAGATTCCTTGTTAGGTTTCCACTTCAAGCCACAGCCGTGGGTTCTGCTAGAAGTTCAAACATCTTCTTAACGTGTGAGCAAGAACCACCATCACCGTGCTAAGCCATCCTGAGATCCCTGGCTCTCCGACACTGTGTGAGACACCCCCCTCCCCTCCCCACAGTAAGGTCTGAGTTAATGCGTTACCCAACAATTAAAAACAAAACACAAAAACTCCAAACTCACTGCTGTTGAGAGACTGACTCAGAGTGACCCTCTAGGACAGGGTAGACCTGCCCCTGCAGGTTTCCGAGACTGTCACTCTTGAAGGGGCTAGAAAGCCCTGTCTTTCTCCCAGTGGGTGGTCCGATTCTAGAATTTAGTTGCCAGGAAGTTGTGTTTGGTGGTTTGATGCCTGGGGGTGGGGACAGGGCGAGGGGAAGCTCGGTCCATTTGTAGTTAAGCTGGTGGGAGCGGTCAGATGGTTTGGGTGAGTTGAGCTGTCCGGGATGAGTTCAAGTCCAGAGGCCAAACTTAATTCTGACTCAGAGCAACCCTGTAGGAAAGGGTAGAATTGCCCTGTGGGTTTCTGGGACTGTAACTCTTCATGGGAGTAGAAAGCTTCGTCTTTCTCCCTGGTGGTTTCAAACTGCTGACCTTTTGGTTAGTAGCCCAGCTTGTAACCACTACACCCTAGGCCCCTTGTATAGCTAACTAATAGAGGTCTGTATCTGATTGTCCCTAAGAGCTCTACCCTTGAGTTTAACTGTCCCTCAGCAGCTAACTCCCTCAATCTAACTCATGCCTCCTTTGAATCTCATCCTGACACCCCTCCGCTCCCCCACTCCTGCCCCCATAAGTCCAAAGTGCGTGCTCAGTGGTCCGCTCTTGCAGCAGAGACTTGAGCCCCTGGCGCGCACATACATTAACCTGACTGACCTTGCTGGAAATCTGTCCGCCCGCACCCTCGGATGAGCAGGGCATCTCCCGTGAAGGCCATGCTGTGGTCATTCAGGACGAAGGTGACGCAGCCTGGGGTGTGGCCAGGGCTGGCCCGGGTCTCCAAAGCCTGGCAGGGAAGAGGGAACATGGAGCCAGTCACCAGCAGCACATCCATGCCTCCATGGCTCCAGCCTCCAGTCGAAATGGGGCCCAGGAGCCCCCACCAAGCTCAGGCCATCTCTAGGGAACCGTTTTGGAAAAATATTAAGGTCGACTGCCAAGCTCTCTCCTACAGGACAGGGTAGAACTGCTCCTGTGAGCTTCTGAGACTGTCACTCTGGATGGGAATGGAAAGCCTCGTCTTTCTCCCAAGGAGAGGCTGGTGGGTTCAAACTGCTGGCCTTGTGGTTAGCAGCCCAACATGTAACTACTACTGTGCCACTTGGGTAAACTCCAGATGGGTTAAAGACTGCAAGACAAGAAAAGAAACATTGGAATGCAATGATGACCACACACACACACACACACACACACACACACACACACACACACACGATATCTACACTTGGATTAAGGTAAGCCCCAAAGAAAACCCACTTCCATCAACTTAATTCCAACTCGTGGCAACCCCAGAGGACAGGGTACAACCCCTCCCACCCCCACCCCATGGTTGTCCAAGACTGTAACTCTTCACGTGGGCAGTGTCCACATCAGATCCCTGAAGCCGTAAGTCTGGAAGGGAAAGCGGGCAGCTTGATTGGAAAGAAATGTGCAGCATTTTAAGGGTGACAGCGCCGCAGGCTGAGTTTAAAGAGACTGGGAAAACCGGGGGAACTTATATTTGTAGCGTGCATGGAGCGGGCACAGACTTCCTGTGCAAACAGTGCTTGCCAAGCAGTGAGGGAAAGGCACTGTGGTAGAAGTCTAAACAGAGAACAACGGAACGCCAGGAAACTACCTCTCGCTCAACCTGCATCGGTCCCAACTCGGGACGACCCTACAGGCCAGGGCAGAACTGCCCCTGTGGGTTACTGCGTTAGTCCGGGTTGACCAGAGAAACAAATCCAAAGATGCTCATGTGCGTGTGAGAAAGCTGCATATCAAGGAGCAATTGTAAATTGAGAAAGCACCCCAGCCCAGTCCGGATCAAGTCCCTAAGTTCGAAATTGGCCCTTATGTCTGATACTAGTCCATACATTCCTCTTCAGACTCATGCAGCACATGCAATGATGCTGAATGCAGGAAGATCACAGGCCGGTGGATGGAAAGCCCTGTGGGTCCGACAGCAGTAGATGCATCTCCAGGGCTCTGGTCGCCCTCAGTGTGACTCCATGTGGCTTGTCAACAGGAAGGTAGAGCGGAGGCAGTGTGTGTCCCGCCTCCAGGGAGGAAGAGAGGATTCCCAGACTCCACGAGAGAAGGCCACGCCCACAGGAGGGATCACCAGCCATGGCCTGATTGACAGGCTAGACCCCACCCCTTCATCCTTATTTATCGAGTTGACATGAAACTGTGTAATTGCCACAGTTTCCGACACGGGGACTCCTTTTTATCGTTTCAATCATGAGAAAGACAAACTTTACTTTAAGACACCATATTCTGAAGCTAAATGAATAAAAGTTCATGCAGTGCACCTCCCCCTCATGCTGCCAGCACACCACCTGCCCTACCTGCAGGCCAGAGAATAACAAGAGAGACCAGCCAGCAAGCCGTTTTAAATGACATTCCTCAGAGATATTGGCTGTCCACGTCCTCGGGACTATGTTTTCCCTTTAGTATTTTGGGTGACCATTTTAAACTAATAATAGAACTAGCGCGTGTCTTTCAAAGAGTTCCTGTGTTTCTATAGCTCCTGGGTTTTACTTGTAAGAAGGCCCCCTAGTCTACATGTGGGGGCAAAGGTCCACATGTGTCCTTGGTTTGCATGGCCCGTAATCAGAAGATAACAACGACATGCACACGTGGGCCCAAGAATCCAGCTTCCTGGGGATTGCCATGCACACATTGAGGCAAAACTGACGATTAACTCTGTAACCCTTCACCTAGTTTACAATAAAAAGTTTGGGGGAAAAAAACAACAAAAAAATTCAGCTTCTAGTGGCTGCCGGAGGATTCAAAACACTCATCTGATTCCACCTCAAGAGCTGGATCATAAAGTCTTTTTGTTTGTTTGTTTGTTTGTTTGTTTCAAAGCTATATATTTACATTTGTTTTACACACAAAATCTTAAGCACATCCTCGTTCACTCTCATTACAGACATTAAACCCCAGGCAAACTGGATTTGTTAGGGAGCTAGATCAGGGACAGGGGGCTTGTCCCTCCTAGGCCTGCACAGGCCCCCATAAAGGAGGTTGGGAAGAACACAGGTGACCCTTTTTTTTTGTTTGTTTGTTTGTTTGTTTGTTTGCTTGTTTTTTTTTAAACATTTTATTAGGGGCTCATACAACTGTTATCCCAATCCATACACACATCAATTGTGTAAAGCGTATTTGTACATCATTTC